GCCTAAGCCACTTTATTGTCTGAACCAAGAGAAAATATGGGATATTTTATCTATTTTATATACGAAGTAGACTGGACTGTTTGTGAATTCATACTTCAACACTAATAGTATACCACTGGACTTGAAGGAGTGGAAACGTTCACACCTAGTTCTAAGCCAAAATGGGGTTTGATTGTTTGTAGTTTTAGCATGTTGTATGAAACCGTCCACTATGGTTTATTCAATAAGCCACATTTAAACAAGCCATGGATTAAGACAATGCATGAGCCCAGTCAAGTTTATCCTTTAATTCTAATGAGGAAGAGAACTAAGGGGCTGAAAAGGAACACCAGGGGAAAGGACTATAATTACTTCTTCTCTGCTTCTGCCAGCTGACAAAAACCATCTTACTCCAGCTCACTATAGGGCCAGCCCTATATATTTGTTTACGAATTACAATGCCTACCATAGGAACTGAAGGGCCTCAGGTACAATAAAATAATTTTAGCTTGATTTAAATTGTCTAATAACCACAGACGTACCTATCAACCAAACTTCAGATACCATATAACAAAAAGTTCTTTTACAGAGAGACAACTGAGGCACAAGGTACAACATATAACATAGCCCTACGAGCCAGGCTTGACAAGAAAAGGCTAAACACGTACAGTTCTTTATGATACAAAAAGAATAAGCACTTCTGCAACTCCTCCAACTTCCCTCCAAGAAGCCAATACAATGAAAAAGTTAAACTTCTCCTTCAAGGTCTTTCTCTTTTAATCCTTGGTTTCTTTATAATCTCTCTTCTACAGTATCCTGGACAAAGTGGTTAATGACCAGATTCATTCTTAAGAACCTAGGTGTTGTTTTCTGCACACGTGCTAGTAGTTGGAATGTTTCCCACTCAATGAAATAAAAGATCCATAAATCCATCCCTCTTCCTCACAGCTACTCAGAAAGGACAACTTATGGAATAAGTGTAAGGAATCAAAATTCCAGGTTCTTTGGCTCATAGGATTACTATTACAGTCTAGTACAGTGTTCTCAACCTTGGCAACTTTAAGACCTGTGGACTTCAACTCCCAGAATTCCCCAGCCAGCCTGGCTGGCTGGGGAATTCT